AAGTGATAAAACAACAATGGAACAGTTTCGGTACAAAGTTCAAAACTATTAGTTCACTCAATACCAGAATGTTTACAATGTATAATAAAAGCAAAAAGATGACCCACCAAGTACTAGACGGTTTTAAAGTTAAATATTTTAGGTATTTTGGGCAGTTTCTTTCCAGCATCCCATGCGGATTTTCCTTTGCCTTTCCTTTCGCTAGTTCTTCCTAGGTTGCATTACACCATTAGAGCAACTTTCTACGAAGTTTGCGAAAGATGTCGTTAAGTTTAAATCTAAATAAGAAAATGTCGCTATCTGTTAAGAAAACATACAGTGGATGGACAAAAATATGGAAACACCTTGTGAAATGCATGTTTGAAAAGAAAGATTGATTTTAATGAAATATGTAGGTGACGCTGGCGTTTTTGACTACTGACGCCACCTATACAACTTCGTAAATGTGCTAAACAGTTCAGTTGTTGTCGGAGTACTGTTATGTGAGGTTGAGGTTGTCATTGCATTATGTCAGAGTTAACAGACTTCGAACGTGGGTAAATTGTTGGAGCACGTATGGTAGGTGCTTCCGTAAGCAAGGTAGCCGAGGTGTTTAGTGTTTCAAGAGGTACTGTATCGAAGATTTATTCCGCATATTTGAAAAGCGGAAAAACATCATCTGCTAAATCACAGCGCGGACGAAAGTGTGTCCTGAGTGATCGTGACAGACGATCATTAAGGGCAATTGTGACAAAAAATAAGAAGACCACAGCTGCAAAAGTTACTGCTGAAATGAACGTTGTGTTACCGAGCCCTGTGAGTACCAAAACAATTAGAAGGGAGCTTCATAAATAGGGAATTGCTGGCCGTGCTGCAATTGAGAAGCCACTCATCAGTGATGCTAATGCCCGTAACAGGAATAGGTGGTGTTTAAGTCATAAAGCCTGGACTATAGAGCAGTGGAAGCGAGTAATATGGTCTGAGGAGTCTTCTTTCACATTGTTTCCCACTTCTGGCCGAGTTTACGTCTGGAGAACGCCATCTCAAGCCTATAATACAGACTGCTTGTTGCCAAGAGTGAAACATGGCAGGGGTTCTGTTATGGTTTGGGCAGCCATATCGTGGTTCTCTGCTAGCCTCATGATAACTGTGTCAGGGCACATGACTGCCAAGACTTATGTGAACATTTTGGCCGATCAAGTTCATCCCATGGTACAAACTTTGTTCCCCGATGGTGATGGTGTCTTCCAAGACGACAAAGCCCCTGTTCACACAGCTCACATTGTCCAGGACTGGTTTTCTGAGCACGAGGATGAGTTGTCCCATCTCCCCTGGCCACCACAGTCACCAGACCTGAATATTATTGAACCTTTGTGGTCTACATTGGAACGGAAAGTGCGTTCTCGTTATCCACCGCCAACATCGTTATCTGAACTTGCCACCATTTTCCAGGAAGAATGGTATAATATTCCCTTGGCAAATATACAGGAACTGTATTTATTCATTCCGAGAAGACTGCAAGCTGTTTTGGATGCCAACGGGTTTCCTACACCATATTAAGCAAAGAAACATGTTTTTTTAAAGGTGTTTCCATATTTTTGTCCAACCCCTGTATGTTTTGCTTTATTGCTTTGTCAAATAAAGGAACGAATTTTAAAAGGAATATTGTTACATATCTTGTACAATTTTAGGGCAATAAAAGAGTAGTAATTATCTTTTATAACTACAAGAATCATTCTAAAATGATTTCAATTATAAAAACTCTGTAGCTTTAAAATAATCTGCTTCATCACGAATACTGTACTGGACTTAGCTTCAAGTATTCAGTCTACCTTAAGTGCCTGTAGAGGCAAAGCAACACGTCCTTTGCATGTTAGTCGCGGCATACATTGAAACTTGGAAAAGTATGGTAACTTGGTAAAGTTGAAGCAAGTCCTCGATGTTATTTACCAAGATGAATTATCTTTGTATTTCATTATTAAAGTGGCCACCGCATAAGCATTGGCGACATTTAAAAACTGCACGTTACAGACTGGGTGTTGGCGACTTTAACAAAGAAGTAAGTACTATTACCTTCAGTTTTTTTGCCCTTTAACCAAGGAAATAAAAGTAATGTTTCACAAAAGTAAATGCGTCTAATTTTCATATAACTGAGACTGACTTCCTGTGTTTAAGTCCAGCATTTTACTGCCATATGAATTACTTTTTTTTTTCTTAAAAAATGAAATGACACTGCAAAAGTTATATAGAATTCAATATAAAAATCTGTACAGTTTTAACTTACTTTTCATTAAACAACAAAATTAAAATGCACTTTTGAAGTAATTTAAAAGATAAATAACAACAAGACAAGAAATCCAAAACACCTTCAGTAAGAACAGAAAGTTTCTTTGTCTTCCAAGGGATTTTTAAAAAATAACATATTTTTTAAAGATGTACATAATTCTACAGTCGCTTGTTTAAAGAAAATAGTCATTTCTTCTTTTAATAAATGCATGTCATTCTAACATATGATTATTGCAAACCAACGTTTATACACCTTACAATCACAGTTTTTTCATCATTTGTTTAAAAATGGAACATTCGAATTGAGCAACGAGATTTGCAAAAGGATCTCCAAGAACAATTTTGCACGCAAATAAATTTTACAATAATTAAAGAACTGGTCTTAAATGCATTTAAAAAAGAAATAAAATGAGACAGTACGATGATGTAACGACTGAGGCAGTAAGTTAAAAAAAACAGTGAAAAAAGTCAAGTATTTATTTTATCATCCAACTGACAACTTTTCGCGACATTTTTTGACTATGTACTGTAATTCAGGAATCTTTTTTTTTTTTTTTTTCTTTTCTCTTCCGTTGTTGATTTATTTATTTTTAATCGTTAAACTATTAGTTGGATAAACTTCAAGCATAATTCTGAAATAAATAAAATAAAGATAATCTAGAATAACAAATATAATTAAAAACCCTAATTTGTGGTTTTATTGTTAAAAAACATTTTTAAGTTGTTAAACATGTTCAGCCACGTAGACTATGTATAAAATAAAAGTAACAACTACACAAAAAAAATCTGAAAGGTTTCAGATTTTAACTTACGCCCAAAGGGGTGTTTTTTTAACATTTTGTGTGTTACATTTATTTATTAAATATCACATTCTTCGCACTTAAACCATAAAATTGAGTTCAACAGCAATATCGCAAAATAGTTTTAAAATGAGCATATTTTTAGAATTTCCAATACAGAGACTCACGCGCTAGAGATAAAAAGGTTTTTTTCTGTTTAACGTTGCAATGACTCGCTTTGAAATCCTTGAGTTTGTTAATCAAAAATTCGTTAAAGTTTTACAAAATAGGAAATTGATTCCAAATTTCAAAATAGGAATTGAAAACAGATTCCAAATTTCAAATTTGGCCTTCCACATGCTCATATTCGTAGGAGGATTACAACATCTAAAATTCGATGGCTCTATGTACCGTTGTTTTATCACAATGCGAAATATGCATACATTTATGCAGATTTTTCATTATTTAATTTCTTTGAATATAACTCAGGGCGATAATACTTTGTGGCAACAGTTTCAAAAGTGATTCGCCGTTTGTAGTGAATCGACGCAAAATCGCAAAACGAAAACAATAGTCCTTCAGGAACAAAGCCATTTTGGACTAATAATTTGAAACATTTAATTCTAAATAACTATTAAACAGGTCGGTACTTAATGTGGTTTTTCAATATGCAGCATTTTTACCAAGTCATCTATGTTAGGATTATTTCTTGAAGATGGTAACAAAATTAGGTGTTTTAGGTGTATACCAGTTAATTTTGAACGATATTTTAATTTTATTTTGTTCATAATAGGAAAAAATTTGTTCGCAAACATCTACAAAAATATCTGACAGCCAAATCGTGTAAATTTGGAAAATTGCTTTGCTCGTACAAATTTTCAAAATTTAATATAATTATATGGATCACTTGCCGTTGAAATGAGTTCTATATATCTGCTTTTATGTAGTATGCTGCATGCAACAGGTCAGTAATTTCGATTTGAGTTTCAATTGGCCAACAATTAACGTCTTGCGGTGAAACTGAATTATTATATTTATTCTAATGTGTTTATGTTCTTTCAAAGGAGTTAATATAGACGATAATATTATTTTTCAATCTTTTAATTCACCAAGTGTGCGTGCTGCTATTAAAACTCCGCCGTGCCACACCGTGGTACGCGTGCCGCTGGTTGGCATTCCCTGGTTTATTGGAAAAGGCCTGTGTTTGAAACCGTTTAATAAAGCAAATACGTTAAGTTGAAACCTGGAATTATCTTCTGTAATATTATTAGCATAGTTAAGTTTCACAGACACACTTTTGAATAATGCACATAACAGGATGACAACATTCAATTTCTGTGAGTGTTTTATGCAGTGCTGCATTACGCTGTATTTATTACCTTTCTAATTACATTTTGTCTTTAGATATGCAATGATGCAGATGTTATTTAAAAATAAAACCTTCTATATAAGCAGTTGGAAACGAAATTTTTTAAATAAGAGCTCTCATTTATATTCAACTAAGCAAAAGTATAATAAATTACAACGTTTAAAGAAATCCTTAAAAGAACCAACAAAAAGGAAACGTTTAAGCCAGTGGTATTCAAATTACGGGCCGCGACTCCAAACGGAGTCCCGAAAATGCTTAGTAGGATCGCAAGGTGGATTAAAAATCCTAAATATCTGAAATGATGGTACATATCTACGGCTCGACGTTCTGTTTTGGGGTCGCGGATTTGTTTTCTGGGGTCTACCACTCGGTTAAGCAAATAATTTTTTTTTTTTTTTTTTTTTTTTTTTTTTTTTTTTTTACATGCGCCACAGTAAACAGAACTTTTCAATATTTTTACGTATGCATATCTGAAAACTTTCGTTTGTAACCTTTTTTAGTCTTTTGTTTCCAACATTTTCAAGCTAACAGATACAACACTTTCCAAAATCACTTAAATTACTTAATATATACAAATGTGTACTTACCAAGCATGTATGTATTTTTGCTATAACCACTAAAATTATCACGTAAAGCGACATTGTGTGATAAGATACGTCCTACCAGATGGCAAATCCAGACAACTTTTGCTTCGCCTTATCCAATGAAGAGCATTTACGAGTTTTTGCTTGTTTGCGTACAAGGCACGTTTTGAAAACAAAAGTTAACCCTAAGGCAAGAAAATTGCAACGAATGCCACAGATTTGTTGCTTCAGTAAAAGAAAAAGAACGCCTTTTTTTTTAATCCGTTCTTCAGTTGAAGGAATTCTGTGGAGGAAAGCCGAAGTGCCTCTTTGAACGTAGAGGCCCCTATTCGGAGAGATGTTTATAAATGAGTTGATAACTCCGATGTAGCAGAGAAATAAATAAAACGAAAGATCGGCTGAGATTGCTGGATGAACTGGCTGAACCGCATTTTATTTTTCTCTTTAGAAACTCGTAAGGGATCACTTTGAAATTTCATCTTTCTGCCGAAGCATAGACAAACCGGTTAGAAAATTCTGAAAAGAAATTCGTATTTTAAAGTGTGTCTGGAATGTCTTTTGTGAGATATTTTCCTTCGCGGTTTGGAATTTTTTTTTTTTATTATTTTTTTTTATTTTGTTAATGAAATACGTAGAGTTTTGAAATAAGATTTGTTCTGCTAGTAAAATTTGTCATAAAACAGAAAAAATGAAATTAACTACATATTAAAAATCATTCAATTAAATAATAAAATTAGTTAAATAAATACAAATAATTAATTAAATAAAACTGGGTTAAATTTATACTGTTTATTCTCATTAGCAAATAAAATTTAAAAGTACATATTTTGATTATTATTTGTTGGCAATAAAATTCTGGTAAAAACTCGTATGTTAACTTCATGCCGCAAAGAAGGCCCATGAGCGGCCGAGGTATTATTGCCTACATGAGCGGCATTTTAAACAAAAGTTGCAAGTACATATTTTAAATGTGCCTACCTCCAAGGCCTATGCCGCAGACGGACATTTTGGCAAACATGTTTTGGCGCCCTTTTCTGAACTCCGCAGGCGTGTGCCTTCCAGAAAAGGGCACCAAAATGCTTGTTTCTCTGACAGCAATCAATCTCATGAGTTTTTATTAACAATTATGTATTTAAGACACAATAACACGCCGAATAAATACTAATTCAGAAGTCAAACAACAAAAATCAGCATTATATTTACAAAATTTTCACAGGACTAGTTTCGATGGTTTTACCGAACCACCATCTTCAGCTGCAAAACCGCAAATGAACAAGATAAGAAATAATGATTAGATAAGATAAGAAAGACTGGACAAGAATAAGCAAGTGGCGCCATCTATTGGTGAAACCAGAACTAAAACATAATTTCTTTAAAGGCCGAAGGCAAATTTGGATTGGCAGCAGAAAAATTGAAAGTGTGATTTTCGGACCAACAATGTTGAGCAACAGAAGACTTCTGTGTTTCCTTTTTTCTAACATATGCCTCATGTTCCTTGACGCGAAATTTTAAGGCTCTCTTAGTTTGGCCAATGTAAATTAAACCACACTGGCAAGGAATCCTATAAATACCCCAGGAATTCATATCCGGAATGGGGTCCTTGAGTATGGAACTCGGAATTTTATTGATGGGAGAATAAACAACCCGAAAGTTAAATTTCTGCAAAATATGTGCAACTTTATAGCTAATTGATGGAAAGAAGGGAATGACAACAGAATTTTTATAATCTCCTAAAATAAGAGTGTGGCTTTTAGTGTGTTGAGATGAGAATTTTTTAACTGCTTGATTAATAATGTTGGGTGAAAAACCCCTGTCAATAGCTATTGCTTTTAAATAATTTAGTTCTTCATCAAGGGCTAGTTTGGAGGAGCAAACTTGAAGAGCACGGAAAACATAGGAATAAAATGAAGCTAACTTTTGTTTAGTCGGATGACATGATTTAAAGTGTGGTGGAAGGCAAACCGATGAAGGTTTACGGTAAACCGTAGTACTGAAGTTGGATGTGTTACGTGTGACCAGAATGTCGAGAAACGGAAGAGAATTGCAAGTCTCAAGTTCAAAAGTGAACTGAATAGCAGGATCAATAGAATTCATTGTTGAAAGAACTTTATTTAAATCATCTTTATTACCTTCAAACAGAGTAAAAGTATCGTCTACGTAGCGGAACCATGCCGGGAAGTTTAAAGTTTCAAACAATTTTGATTCATAATAATGCATGCTACATGCATTATTCCCTGCTAAAATTCCCTCCTTTTTTTTTTCCTTAAACGATGCAAGTAATAAAAATGTTTTTTTTTTATGCGTAAGGTATTTTTGTGTTGCTTGCATTTAAGAATTAGTTAAAGTTAATTCATTATTAAAAACCATATTTTTATCATTTAAAAAGTCTTTTTAACATTGTGAAAAATCTCCTGATTTCTTAAAAAAATCTCCTGATTTTTGAGTGTCATAGGTTGGCAAGTATGCATGTAGATATCAACCAGGATGACTGAGGGGACTGAGGGGGCTTCCCATGGCTAATCCCTCAGTTTGCTTGTAATATTTATTTTGGAAAACAAAATGTGTTTGTTTCAAACAGAGTTGAGTGAGAGAAATTAGCTTATCAATTTCGAAGAGAAATGAAATTCGCGAAGTCTGGTTTCTAGAATTAATGCACCCTGGATTGGTGAATAATGATTTACATCAAGTTACTTCGGTCCGTCATAAGGGATACACGTCAACAATTGTCCAAAATTGAACGTGAACTCTATAAGCTTCATCTGGAACTCGCTAAATCATATCCAAAATTCACTGCCCTTGAACAAAAGTCTTGGTCTAGAACGGAGAATGCAGTTAACCGTCATAAAAACACCCTTGCAGTTAAATTCGAAAAACTTCTTTTACAATCTTCCAGTTCAAGTAGTTCAAAAAATCTTCCCATTGTAAACATCAAGCCAATAGTTAATATTTCTAATGTTAGTCTTTCAGAAGAACAAGAGAGAATTCTAAAATATAATTTTAACTTCTCACAAACCTGTAAACCCTCGATTCCAAAGATTTTGGCTCCTATCGAAAAAGCTTTCAAGTTCAGTAAAGTTTCAGATTCACAGAAAGAAATGATTAGGCATCTTATCGCTCATAATGTGAAATTCAATAATAAACCTTTGAAACCAAATCTAACTGCGAGAGAAAGAGCTACATTGCGTGAAATTCATTCTAACCCGGATATTATTATTTCAAAGGCCGACAAAGGTGGCCAGATAGTCGTCATGGATAGGAACACTTACATCGATGGTGTCACTAAACTCTTAAACGAAGGACCATATAATCCGATCCCTAAAGATCCTTCACCTTCGGACTTGTCAAAAATAAAAACTGCGATCAAATCTTCGCAAATCATTTCAGGCAACTTAAAACATTCACTTATCCCATCTGTTGCGAATTGTGCCAGATTATATGCTCTTCCCAAAATTCATAAAAGTGGTATTCCTTTCCGCCCTATTGTATTAGCAAATTTAGTAGTAAAAAATTCTAAAAAAGAAAACATTTCTCTAGTTAATTTCCATTTTATGTCTGTAAATTAAGATGTTGATGTCTTGCATCGAAATTGATGAGCTAATTTCTCTCACTCAACTCTGTTTGAAACAAACACATTTGTTTTCCAAAATAAATATTACAAGCAAACTGAGGGATTAGCCATGGGAAGCCCCCTCAGTCCCATCCTGGCTGATATCTACATGCATTATTATGAATCAAAATTGTTTGAAACTTTAAACTTCCCGGCATGGTTCCGCTACGTAGACGATACTTTTACTCTGTTTGAAGGTAATAAAGATGATTTAAATAAAGTTCTTTCAACAATGAATTCTATTGATCCTGCTATTCAGTTCACTTTTGAACTTGAGACTTGCAATTCTCTTCCGTTTCTCGACATTCTGGTCACACGTAACACATCCAACTTCAGTACTACGGTTTACCGTAAACCTTCATCGGTTTGCCTTCCACCACACTTTAAATCATGTCATCCGACTAAACAAAAGTTAGCTTCATTTTATTCCTATGTTTTCCGTGCTCTTCAAGTTTGCTCCTCCAAACTAGCCCTTGATGAAGAACTAAATTATTTAAAAGCAATAGCTATTGACAGGGGCTTTCCACCCAACATTATTAATCAAGCAGTTAAAAAAATTCTCATCTCAACACACTAAAAGGCACACTCTTGTTTTAGGAGATTATAAAAATTCTGTTGTCATTCCCTTCTTTCCATCAATTAGCTATAAAGTTGCACATATTTTGCAGAAATTTAACTTTCGGGTTGTTTATTCTCCCATCAATAAAATTCCGAGTTCCATACTCAAGGACCCCATTCCGGATATGAATTCCTGGGGTATTTATAGGATTCCTTGCCAGTGTGGTTTAATTTACATTGGCCAAACTAAGAGAGCCTTAAAATTTCGCGTCAAGGAACATGAGGCATATGTTAGAAAAAAAGGAAACACAGAAGTCTTCTGTTGCTCAACATTGTTGGTCCGAAAACCACACTTTCAGTTTTTCTGCTGCCAAAATTATTCAAAAAACATCTTCCATTGGAGAACTGGATTTTCTAGAGGCATTTCACATTCATAAAAATCTTTCTGTTCTAGTTAACGATCCTAATTCCAATCCAAATTTGCCTTCGGCCTTTAAAGAAATTATGTTTTAGTTCTGGTTTCACCAACAGATGGCGCCACTTGCTTATTCTTGTCCAGGCTTTCTTATCTTATCTAATCATTATTTCCTATCTTGTTCATTTGCGGTTTTGCAGCTGAAGATGGTGGTTCGGTAAAACCATCGAAACTAGTCCTGTGAAAATTTTGTAAATATAATGCTGATTTTTGTTGTTTGACTTCTGAATTAGGAATTATGTATTTATCAACAAAATTAAAGGTAGAAATTACAATTGATGCAAATATATAATATAAAATTCTTTTAGAATGAAATAAAAAATAATTGGGCATATTTTTATGCACAGAAAGAAGTTGGTAATTAAAATTTTGAACGTTACGTACCACGCTACTTCCCACTGAATTGGCGAATTTTGACTTTGTATGTAAATAGTTTTTACGCTTGTGAAACGTTTCAATGTACAGAAAATAGCGTTTTTCATCATTTCACTTTCCAATTATTGCTTATCAGAAGAATTTTTATGAAATTTTAAAAATGCCTTACAATACATCCTGCAAGAGATGGCGCAACAAGTGCTCCAGTCAACTAAAATGCTTTTTCGTACTAATAGATGGCGCCACACGACGCCTCATTTGTTCACTTATTCTACGGACGGCGGCACAGGAGCCTCCGTCGCTAGTAATCTCTGAATTCTAGCATAGCATCTGCACAAGTACTTCCATTATATTGG